CACTATGTAGACCAGGCTGGCCTTGAACTCAGAGAGATCTGCCTGCCCTCTGCCTCCCGAGTGCTGGGATTAAAGGCGTGCGCCACCCCACCCAGCAGTTAAAAAAAAAAAAAACAGACGTAGCCAGTGTTGGTTGTACATGCCTTTAATCTCTGCACTCAGGAGGCAGAAGCAGGGGTATCTCTGTGAGATCAAGGCCAACTGGGGCCACAGGGAGACTCTGTGTCAAAAGAAGACAAACAACGACAACAAAATCCCACAGAAGTAGCAGAAATAGGTTCTACGTTGTGACAAGGAGCAGGATATTTTTATGAACTATGGGAAATGAGTCTTTCATGAAAACTCATGCCCTAACCCAAGAGGAGGGAGGCAAGCATCTGTGTAGAGGTCCTTTTGAGTCTGGTGTGGGTAAAGATCTAGTCTCTAGGAAGAAACTGTAGTCATGGGATCTTCACTGTATAATACAGGAGCCCCATTGGCTTCAGGTGGCTACTAAGCCCTTGACATGTAGACCATATGACCAAAGAGCACATTTTTAAACTTTGCTCTTTTTTTAAATTTTATTTATTCTTATGTGTATGAGTGTTTTTGCTTCCATGTATGTACACATGTGCACCCATGCATGCAAACCCCATAGAGGCCAGAAGAAAGCGTCAGATACACTGGAACTGGAGTTAGAGACAGTTAGCCACCCTATGGGTGCTGGGAACTGAACCCAAGTCCTCTCTAACAGTAGCCAGTGCTCTAACTTTTGAGGTATCTCTCCCCTAACTATCTCCTCTAAACTTTATTCTTTTTTCAACCAATCCAATGTTTTGCTTATTTATTTATTTATATTTATATTTATTTTAGTACTGGGGATTGAACCCAGGGTCCTTGTGCATGGTAGGTAAGCACTCTACCAACTGAAGTATATCCCCAGCCTGGTAACTTCAAGTTTAAATAGCTACATGTAGCAACTGGACTGGCACTTTCTAGACTTTAAATATGTTTATTGGTGTAGATGACTGTAGGAGTTATCTGCTACAAAAGTACGGTTTGTCTGTGCCCAGCCAGGGTTTGAGTTTTCCCGATTATAACTTAATAAGGGGTGCTTTAGAGCAGTAGTTTCTGCAGGTGAGGCTGGATCTGGTTAGACACACACAGCAGAGGTGGTCACTTCTACTCTGGGTGATTGTTCCCTGGTTCTCTCTGATGTCTTCCTTCCGAAATATTCTCCTTGAGATTGCTGGGGTAGTGACTGCTCTTTTTTTTTTTTTTTTCTTCCTTTGGTCTTTTTGAGATAGGGTCTCCCTGTAGCCCCAGATGGCCTGGAACTTGCTGTGTAGACCAGCCTGGCCTGGAACTCAGAGATCTACCTGCCTTTGCCTCCTGAGTGCTGGGATTAAAGGTGTGTGCCACCACGCCTGGCTTTGTGACTGCCCTTTAGGTTAGACTTCTGTGTGTCCCTCAGAAAGAACACTTGTGGGGCTGCAGAGATGGCTCACTGGTTAAGAGCACTTGCTGCTCCTCCAGAATACGCTAGTTCTGTTCCCAGCACCCACATCTGGCTGCTTACAACCCCCTGTAACTCCAGATCCAAGAGGTCCAATGCCCTCTTCTGGCCTCTGAGGGCACCAGCACACACACACACACACACACACACACACACACACACACACATACACACACACACACAATTTTTTAAAAATTAATAAAAATCAAAGAATGCTTGCATCTTCTATTCATGTCACTGTCTCTGGTTGACAAACTGGCACAGCTTTGATGTCATCTGTCAGACCAGAGGAACAGCAGTGATCAGGGCTCTTAATCCAGAAATTTGACTTCAGGGTACCATTAGGTATTGTGCCACACAGATGTCTTAAAACCTGCTTGTCAGCAACTGTGATTACAAGATTATATGTCATTGATTACTATAAAGATGCTAATCTCCTTTCCTAAGCAATGGACTTTGATATGTTTCAGAGGGTCAGTGGTCACCAGGTATCTGGGAGAAAACTCTATGAATATAGAAATGAAATTTTTTAGTAATAAGGAAATGTTACATTACAAAAGGAGAAAAAAAAAGGAAAATAGAAGGAAGCATCACCTGCCATTTATTTAACAACACAATGATTGGTATTTGGATGTCTTTGCCTTTTTCCTATGTAGATTTTGTTGTTGTTTTACAGTTATATAACTGTTGAGTTGGGATTTTTTGTTTTGTTTTTTGTTTTGTTTTTTGAGGCAGCCATTATGAGAGAACATTATATTACAACATGCCTAGGATAACTAGGTAATTTTCAATCTTCCCCTATCTTCTGTCCTTAGTTCAGTGCTGGGGCTCTGACAACAATGCAGAATTCCAAGATAAACAGCATCCTTTCAAAATGCACATCTGCTTGTTTTCACATTTATAATCTGCCTTTTATATCTTAGTGCTTCTTTGTGTGGATTTAGCATGGCATGAATTAAGTGATAGAAGTAAGTTTATCCTTTTACCTACCTGACTAGAGCCAAACTATCAAAGACTATATAGGAAAGGAAAATGGAGAGACCCCATGTACTCTTCACCAAACCCAGCAACACTTCAGAAATGAACAGTGAAGAAACTGGCCTAAAGTTACATAACTACCAAAGGAGCTGGCAGTGGTGGTAAATGCCTGTAATCCCAGCACTTGAGAAGTAGAGGCAGGAGGATCAGGAGTTCAAGACTGGCCTCAGCATGGTGAGTTTGAAACTCAAAGAACACCCCACAAAAGGAAAAAGTGAACAAGGATTATTGCTCATACTTTTTCAATATACCAGGTGAATGAGAAAGTATTTACAGAAGGCTAATAATATAAAATATCCCTCATTTCTCTCTTCTCCCTCTTCTTCTTTCTCCTTCAGTTATTTGCTGTATAAACTCATTAAAAAAAAATCCACTGTTTAGCTGGGGTTGGTGGTTCATGTCTTTAATGCTAGCACTCAGGAAGCAGAGACAAGGCAAACCTCTGTGAGACTGAGAGCATCCTGATCTACATAGCAAGTTCCAAGCCAGCTGGGACTACAGGGAGACCCTGTCTCAAAAACAAAACAAAACAAAACAAAACAAAAAAAAAAACCACAAAGTCAGGTTGTAGTGGGGCTGAAGGGTGTATACTGCTCTTGCAGTTCCCAGCACCCACATGGGCAGTTCCCAACTGCCTATAACTCCAGCTCCAGGGGATCCAACATCTACTTCCCCACTCTTTTGGCAC